CCAATGGCTGGAAAAAGCTGGACTCAAGGACAGCACAGAGGCCCTCATCCTGGCCGCCCAGGAACAGGCCCTAAACACCAGAGCAATAGAGGCCCAGATCTACCACACCAGACAAGACCCAAGGTGTAGGTTGTGCAAGGAGGCCCCTGAGACAGTCCAGCACATCACAGCAGGGTGCAAGATACTGGCAGGGAAAGCGTACATGGAGCGACATAACCAAGTGGCAGGCATAGTGTACAGAAACATCTGTGCAGAATTTGAACTGGAAACCCCAAGATCAAAGTGGGAAACACCCCCAAAGGTGGTGGAGAACGCCAGAGCTAAGATCCTGTGGGACTTCCAGATCCAGACAGACAAAATGGTAATGGCGAACCAACCAGACATTGTCGTAGTGGATAAACAACAGAGGAAAGCCGTTGTGGTAGATGTAGCAATACCAAGTGATTGCAACGTCAGGAAAAAGGAGAAACTGGAGAAATACCAGGGCCTCAGGGAAGAACTGGAGAGGGCCTGGAAGGTGAAGACCACAGTGGTGCCTGTGGTCATCGGGGCCCTCGGGGCAGTAACCCCCAAACTGGAGCAGTGGCTACAACAGATCCCAGGAACAACATCAGACATCTCAGTCCAGAAATGTGCAGTCCTTGGCACAGCCAAGATACTGCAGGACCCTCAAGCTCCCAGGCCTCTGGTAGAGGACCCGAGCTCAGAGGATAAGAACCACCCGCGGTGGGTGAGAAGGGATTTTTTTTTTTTTATTAATATATGTATAATTTTATTTATTTATTTATTTATTTTTTAAATCACATCAAACCTCATTCTCATAAGATATTTGTATGTTTAATTTTGAGGAAAGAGATTATTTAATAGAATTACACATAGTCTTCATCATAAGTTATGGACAAAATGAACTGAAGAACAGACTTTTTGGATGCAGTGTAAAAGTCACAGGTGGATAGTTATGTCAAATCATGAGCGGATGGTTTCAATATTGCACTGTAAGATGTAAGCAGCTATAATTGTCTTTGTAATAGAGATTTGCCTTGATCTCTGCTTGTTCAACTGATGTGCTTTGACAAACCCACAAGACTATTTAAACGAGGCCAAATTACACACAGGTGGCCTCTGGTACCTCCAGCAGTCCTTTGGTTGGAGTACAGTGGGTGAACAGGTGTAGTGCATTATTCCAGCTTTTGTAAAGTTTTATTTGTGAACAGTGGCGAGCCAGTGAGTATATTTGGTCAGTCGCAAAAAACCACATTTACTTTATTACAGAACAGAGACAAACCAACACAACAGATTTCTCACAATGACACTTCTTTAAAAGGTCAGGCTAAGGTGACAACAGCTATCTAGTCTGTGTATGTCACTTGGTGGGACTGGATTTTCTTTTTTATGCATCGTTCCTAAAAACCTTGAAAATGGTATATTCTTTTTTTTTTTTTAAACTTGCATCACTTTGTATTAGTCCATCCATTTCCTGTTCACCCTTGTCTCTAATGGAGCCGGGGTTGCTGGTGCCTATCTCCAGCTAACGCCAGTCTGTCGCAAGGCAACACAGAGACAGACAGGACAAACAACCATGCACCCCAAGGTGGCATTAATCTGACAATCAATGTTTTTGGACTGTGGGAGGAAGCCGGAGTAGCCGGGGAGAACCCACCATGCACAGGGAGAACATGCAAACTCCATGCAGAAAGGTCCCAGGCCGGGAATCGAACCCAGGACCTTCTTGCTGCAAGGCAACAGTGCTACCACTGTGCAGCCCTTTGTATTACTCTTGAACATAAAATCCAGTTAAAACACATCGAACTGAAGCATTTTATGATTTCATGTTTGTCCTTCTCCAATCCACTAGTTGTCCTGAATGCTTTTTTTGAGGGGGGCAGAAATAGAAGTTTGCTTCATGTGTGCTGCCTCTAATTCTCTAAGGGCATAAAAGTTTCAGATTTCTGTTGTAAGATGAGAAGAATAATTGCTGCAATTGGTTAAAGTCACATTCAGAATAAAGACAGCTGCACCATAAGGTACCACTGTTACACTCCAAACTGAGAATTTTGCAGACATGCAAGATCTATGAATAGTGTCCCACACAGGTCAGGTATTCATTCAGTGAAAAGAATCAATAACAAGCCTTTCGAATGTTTTGTCAAACAACACAAGTCAGGAAAAAATATGGGAAGTACAGTTTTTAGAGACATGTGAGTTTGGTGATTTCTCAGAAATAGAAGCTTACTTTGCATTTTTGGTATTTGGTCGCTTGTGATTTTTCACATTCCTGCTTCATATTTTTACGTAGTCTGCAGTAGATACTATTGTTAATGTCACATGACAGTTTATCATGCCGTGTGAAAGAACAAAACTCTGCCAAGATTTGTGAGTTTCAGACATTTTGTAAGTTCGTGAATTATTGATGTTTAACAATTTTAAGTCGTAGAAGAGAAGCAAGTAGTAATGAAAAAAATTCCATTGAGAAAGGAAGAATCTCATATACATACATTAACTATTAACAGTGGTGTTTTCTGGCACGAGCGACATGGGCAACCGCCCAGGGCGACATCTTGTGGGGGGAAGCATGACAGCCCCCTCCCACTCTCTGCAGTATCCCCTCCTGCCCCTCTTACAACATCTGGATCTTAATAAATAGAGCCTAATTCAAACACCCAATGCCCCCTGGAAAAAAATATGCAGGTGTGTGTGTGTGGGGAGGGGGGGGGGCAGAAAGGTGAATGCCTTGCTGCTGAAATGTGCTATACAAATAAAATGTGATTTGAATGATTCCAAATATACTTCTTTACATCTCGGTCATGCAGCTCCGTCTTTTTCCCATCTGAAGATTTCTCCTGAGGCAACTCAGATATCTGTGTCGGCAGCAGTAGCTGTTGCCTGAACCTAACAGTGGGGCTGTGACAAAGGTTCAAGGGTTGGCACATTGTGTAGCTAATTCTGCTTCAGACTTCCCCTGAACTCCCTGACATGTCTATTGTCAGGGAGACATGTGCTGCTCGCTCACTTGAATCCAACGACACAGGCGGATGTTTCAGGCTGCTGAGTGGCCGACATCATGAGTGTTGTTTGTGAAAAAAGGAGAAACTGTACATAATTTGTCATCCACTCAGCAGAATCACACCAGTTGTAAACTACTGTTGTTGAAAGGTTGGAAACATTTCTGCAGGTGTAATAGATTCTTGTGGCGTTAACTGAGCTACAAATGCAGACAAGACATGTGAGTTTTCAATGATAATGTAATCTGCTCCCAGTTCATTTGTGGAACTGGGAGCAGATCCACAAATGAACTGCTCCTAGTTCATTTGGGAGCATGAACTGGGAGCTCATGGTAGCTCATGCTCCTAGTTCATGCAGTGTGTAAATACTTAAGTGTGACTTAAAAGTTGAATTCACTCCTATTGCTCACAGTAATTCATAAATATTTTTTGTGGTTTGAGTTCCTCTTTACAGGGCTTTGTGTGACATCTGAAAAATCTGAACAGAGCACTTTACTTTTTCTGTACTGGAAGACCATCTGCAGCAACACAAACATGACAAACCCTGTCGTCTCCACAGCGCACTGTGTTAGAAATCACGATGGAAATATGAAAGCGTTACGGATGTTTGATTCTGTGGTGTTGCACGGAGGGAAAAGGGCGCAGCGCAGCGAAAGGATGGCCATTTTGTCATCACGTTAAATTCTGGCTTAACGAAGAAACTGCTGTGTTCACTGTTTCAACGAGCAAACTACACAACAGTAAACGCACGAGACGGTGAAGCACGAAACGCTGTCTGCCTTGCCACAATTTCACAAACACACTTTGAACGCAAAAATGACAACCCGAGGCGCATCTTCAGAGATTCCCTTTTTCCTTGCGCAGGACAAATGAGGAAGAAACCCTCGGCAAGACCAGATGTCTTCTAATGTGAAGCTTTTATGACAGACCTATGCACACGTTGCTTGTATATTGAAAGACTACAGACTTCCAGGTGAGATCATAAATCCTTCGCACCAAATTCAAAACCTTCTTCGTGCGTCAAAGAGTCGTCTGTAAACCATAAGTACCAACATTTGGATGAGAAGGAAAACATAAGATGATATCACAAAAATAAATAAATAAAGAAATGACACACTGCTGGGTAAGATGTTGAACAAGAGCCTTTCACCATGTTCAGTGCCCGCATGGACTTAAGAAAACAAATGCAAACTGATAAAACATCCACAGACTAAAACGCAGCAACCGCTGAGGACGGGCAAGATGATGCTCCGGCTGACTCACAGTGAGATCAGGTTTTTTAAGAGATATGAGCTCCTCTGCGGTTTATAAACATTTTATTTTGTTCTATCCCGACGTCGGGCAGCTTCTCCAGGTGGCCATCGGTTCTGATGAAGATATCTGATTTGAAGAAATGCGTAAACTGGAATTGGAAGGTTGTGTGTTCCCTACAGCCAGACGAGATTTAGAAAAGAAAAACCCAAAACAACAGAAAACAATGAACGGAACAAAGAGTTTGATTACTCATGCATTTTTAGGACGCAAGTTTTGACACAAGCCAGTGACCATCTTCAAACGCAAGAACATCAAAGAAGGTTCAGATTTTGATTGCTTAAAGCGCCTTCTCTCAAAAATCCTCTTTCAATGACAGAGTGGTGTGTTAAGATGGTGCCAAAAAGGCTCCACGTCTCAAAGTTGATTTCACTAACTTTTTGAAATGAATAATTAATCAACATTGTCAATAAATAAATAAATAAAAATCACTAAAAACCTCATGACGATGCAACAAGCGTGTGCATCGACATTCCGTAAGTGTGTGGCGTTAAGAAGCGATACGCCTTTGGAGATTCTTAGTGAAGGTACGTAGTTTTCGCACGCCTGGACGTGTGGAAGCGCACTCCTGGCTTTTAAATGCCATATTTTTAGGTGCTATCACGTGAGAGGTGGGACTCATTAGAATATCATATTTAAGCCTCTCAGAAGTTCAGCCTTAATCCCAGACGGTCAGACAGGCGTAAAGATGCACACGCTCCATGCTTCCAAGATGGGTAAAATGAGGCGCATCTGTGCAGACTATTTTATCTGAATGAGGAAAAAGATTGATCATAAAAACTGTCTTCTGTTTCAGCTTGCCTGATCTCTATCGTCGTCTTCGTGAGTTTTTACAGTAAGTACCTGTCTCTCTTTTCTTCTTTATTATTTGAATTGCTCAGTTCTTAGTAGCAGACGCAGTGCGCTTCATCCCTGGTACCATTTAATTAGATTTCATTCTGTTTCATTGTGTTTCGAGGTATCGGCGTTTATTTCTTTTCTTTTTGTATTTTTTGTCTTTTTTTAATTTTATTTTTATTTTTTGCAAGTGTCCTTATTCCTTTCTCAGTTTGGATGTTAAAACCCACACTTGGTCTTTTACGCATTTAGAAGAGGAGGCGCAATAAAAACGAGCGTTTGCATCTTTCTGTCAGCCAAAAACACAAACACAACCTGGTCTTGCCTTCAGATTATGATGCAGCAGCAGCAGCAGCATCATCATCACCATCACTTTCGGCTGTATTAGGGGAGCCACTAAGTGCCTTTGAGTCTAGACAACGAACTGGTTTATGTGAACACCTCAGACCTTCTGTCTCGTTCTTGTGCGCTTTCTCTCTCTTTCTGCGTAAAAGCTGTCGGATTTTTATGCGAATTGGCGTTATGTGTTTGGATAAACTTCGAGAATAAATAAATAAATAAATAAATAAATAAATAAATAAATAAATAAATAAAAGTTCTTGTGAATATCAGGGCGAGTTTTTAGAACGTTTCTTTGCAACATATTCAGCAGCTTTGCTTTAAAGGAGAAACCCAACAGAGCCGCTGCGTCTGATTCATGAGCAGCATCCTTCAACCGCTGGGGGCGGGGTGTGGAAAACGAAAGTTTGGCTATGAAAGTTCCGTGAACAATATTTTTGGTCGTTGTGTTTTTTTTTTGTTTGTTTGTTTGTTTTGTTTTGTTTTCGTTACTTTTCCGAAACTGTCGAGAGTTGCGCCGAGGCAGACCCAGTAGACCCGTGTTGAAATGAGATGAAGATGATTTAATGATGAACGAAAGCAAAAACACAACCCAAAGACCCACAGCTGGGCGGAAGCTGAGGCTCAACACCGGCAGCAGCTGGAGAGGCGAATAGACAGAGTGGAATTATAGACAGTGGTCTAACACGTTCGACGAGACACGACCAGAACCCGACTGAGACATAGGCGACGCTAAATTTACAGGGGGGCGGAACGAGACACACCTGGGAGACAGGAGAACACGGGGAAACTCAGGACACAGAAACTTCAAATGAAAAAACACAAAACACAGAAACACTGTGATTTGAAGTAATGGCTCGTTTGTTTTAATGTGGGGGGCGAACTAAAGGGCGGCGGACTGTCGGTCTTGCAGTGTTGCTGTTGGGGAAATCCAGACCCCCAGACTCCAAGAGCCCCGGCCCCAAAAAGCGATGTGCGCAAAGATCAGTGCAGCAGGGAGGCAGAGACGGGATTTCCCGAGGCGGCGTTATGATGACGTAATTTTCTCACGCTAATGATTAACAACGGATGAAAACCTGTTGATCCAACAGAGAGAGGGACATGGAAAAAGAGACGTTGATGATCCAGACATTTGTGTGGGATGGTCTAAACATCAGTTTGTTTGTCACGGATCGCTGAAGAGAAAAAAAATCCTGAGTGATAGACTTGGTTCAATGAGCGCCTACTCAGCGTTTTCTCTCCCTCGAGGTTTCACTTTTTTTTTTCTCTCTCTCTACCCAACTTTCTTGTTCCACAGGAACTGATGCGTAGCCACAGCGGTTGCAGTGTCTGCTACCGTTGCTGTAGCGCAGGCGGACGTTTGCGTCAAGTTCCGGAGCGCGTGCCGGCCCGTGCGCAACTCCGCGTGAGCTGCGCACAGCAGAGCGCAAAAGTGTTGGCGCGCGCAACTCACAATGCAAATGAATGAATTTTAGGGTGCGCTCTATTCCGCACCTGATACGGTCGCGTGTTTAAGTTTTTTGTTTGTTGCGGTTTCTGCATTTGTGGTTGAATCGAGTCCAACTGCAAGTTCAACCTGGTCTTATTCTCGTTGGCAGGCTTTGTCTCCGGAGGCAGTGACGCTAACGAAGCCTCGCAAAGGTACAGGAGTGGGAGGTGAGCTGTCTCCTCTCCTTTGTCTGTGAGTGAAGTTTGGCCAAAAAGAGGAAGTTATTTTATTTATTTATTTAATTTCATATGCTTCCCGGGCCGAGTCAGATTTCAATCTCACATCAACCAGACCAGCGTGCACACAGATATGGAGTTCTGCAACCACAGAGAAAGAAATGCAGTCATCACTTATTATTATTATTATTATTATTATTATTATTATTATTATTATTATTATTATTATTATTATTATTATTGTTAATTATCTATGTCCTCTTGTCTCCTATTTGACCTGAGGGGATGTTTATATACTAATGCCTTTAGTATTGTTTTTTTGTTTTGTTTTGCTTTCTTTAATAGTATCCTTCCGCATTAAGAAGTGCACGCACTTCTCCAAAAACCTAGAAATGCACTCGAAAAAAGTCACAATATGTCATCATGAACAAATAAATGGCGTGAGAATAATTAAAAAAAACAAAACAAAACGCCAAGTCAAAAACAAACATCGCGGTTCCTTTTATCCCCCAATGTTACACACGCGCCCACGCGCGTTCACACACGCACCCCCTCCCATACACACATACACACACACAACACACAACACACAACACACAGACATGCACACGTGCACGGACATAAGCCCAGATGCTCACCATTCTCTTACAGGAAATTAATCATATAACATTTAACGGAAATCTTTTCTGTTCCCAGTGGAAAAACTCCACCCACTCTGAGTGGACACTCAGCAGAAGTGGGGATAAACACAAATACTCTCTGCTTGAGGCAAATTTTCAAGACAAATCAATCATTTAAAAAAAACATCATTGCACAAATGTTGACTGAAATGGTCAATATTGGAGTTAATAATCATATGCAAAAATGTTTTGGAGGAATATTTTTTGATTTTTGAGACCAGGGCTTGATCAAACACTCCCCGCGTCAAATTGACCCACGAACATCATTGCTGTACCTCAGAAAGGAACAGGAGAGTTAAGCGTATTAAACAAAATGCTCTTTGATGACCTGCAGGCAAGCCACTGCTTACAAAAAAAAATCATACAAAAAACAAACAGGCTATGGTTTTATCTGTCTGTGTCTGGGTGTGCGTATGTGTTTGTGGGCGTGTAGCCAAGTGTGTTGTATAATTGTATTAGTTACTGATGACACATTGTTGATATGTAGTTGCTGATATGATCGGCGTCGTTTTATTTTTTAGAGTACAAGGATGGATATCTATGACAGTTTTGGCAGGAGTCTTATTCCAGGAAGGAGGCTATGTGCATCCACAGCATCAAACTCACAAGACTCTTTATTATCCGCCCACCCTGTGGCTGAGCTTCCAGTAAGGCATGTACATAGCGCCTTGCGAAAGTGTTCAGCCCCCTTGAACTTTTCACCCTTTTGTTGCTTGTCAGGCTTCAAGCATGAAGATCTAAAATTTATATTATTTTGTGAAGAATCAACAACAACAATCGTGAGGTGGAATGACATTTGTTGGAGATTTTTTTTTAAACAAAAAACTGCAAAGTGGGGCGTGCAGTGATATTTGGCCCCCCTAGCGTTAATACTTTGTTGCGCCACCTTTTGCTGCAATTACAGCTGCAGGTCCCTGGGGATATGTCTCTACTAGTTTTTCACATCGACAGACTGAAATTCTTACCCACTCTTGCTTGCAAAGCAGCTGGAGCTCAGTGAGGTTGGATGGAGAGGTGTTTGTGAACAGCAGTTTTCAGCTCTTTCTACAGACTCTCGATTGGATTCAGGTCTGGACTTTGACTTGGCCATCCTAACACCCGGATACGTTTATGTGCGAACCATTCCAGTCTCAGGTCTTTTGCTGACTCTGGCAGGATTTCTTTCAGAATGGTTCTGCATTTGGCTCCATCCATCTTCCCATAAATTTTTACCATCTTCCCTGTCCCTGCTGAAGACAAGCAGGCCCAAACCATGATGCTGCCACCACTATGTTAGACAGTGGGGATGACGTGTTCAGGGTGATGAGCTCTGTTGCTTTTACGCCAAACATATCATTTTCCATTGTGGCCAAAATAGTTTCATTTTGCTTTCATCTGACCAGAGTACGTTCTTCCACTTGTTTGGTGCGTCTCCCAGGTGGCTTGTGGCAAACTTTGAACAAGACTTTTTACAGATGTCTTTGAGAAATGGCTTTCTTCTTGCCACTCTTCCATAAAGGGCAGATTTGTGCAGTGTACGACTCCCATCTCAGTTGTAGATCATGGGCCTCAGCTGCATCTCTGATCAGTCTTCTCCTTGTCCGAGATGAAAGTTTAGAGGGACGGCTGCGTCTTGGTAGATTGACGGTGGTCTGACACTCCTATTTCGATATGATCTTTTTGTATCCAAATCTGGCTTTAGACTTCTCCACAACTGTATCTCGAACCTGCCTGGTGTGTTCCTTGGTCTTCATGACGCGCTCTGCGCTTTAAAGTCGGTGAGACTATCACTTATCATTTATAGTGGTTCTGGTTCTGGGGATGCAGACCAGAACCAGAACCAAAACCAGAAGACCTGAGGGGTCTGGAAGGTTGATACAACAACAGCAACTCTTTAATGTATTGTGATGATAAACCATTTAGCAACCAGCAACAGCACTCGATAACCAACTTACCTTAAAAATTGTATTTTGCGTTTACTTGCATTGCCTTTGATTTATATTTTTGTTGGTTTTATGTTCTGAAACACCTAAGTGTGAAAACATGGAAAAAACAAAAAAGAAAACCATAAATGGATGCAAGCAATGTTTCATGGAGACTTTCACTGTTACTGCTGAGTAGCAATAATCGTAGAAACAAACAGCTGGTGTTTCCTTGTAGCTACTGTTCAGGATGACTCACGCTGACGAGTGTTTTCTCTTGCATCCATCAGAGGGCAGTAAAACAGAAGATAAAAATCTTCTAAAGGCTCATAGAGAGAAAGCATTCCCTTTGATCTGTCTTTATTTTTTATTTTTAATTGTGTACTTTAATTTTAGCGTGACTAGAATACATTTATAATTAATCATAATCCTTGCATTGCAGAACATCCTATGTAGGAGCCAAATCTGAGGACCCTGGAATGCGTTATTGCGGTGGGAAGCCTTACAGTCCAGAAACTGACACTTGTTGCGAAGATAATGGAAAGAAAGAAACAGGTAATATTTTCCCATGAGCCAGGTTGAATGTCCTGTTATTTTCCCCTTAAAAGATTTATCTTCATGTCACTCTGGCAACACCTGATGCTCTGAAAGAGACTCATACATTCACAGTGCCATAAAGTTGGCTTTATCTTGTGGTGGCAGCATCTTGCTGTGGGGAAACGTTTCTTTTACAGGAATTGTGCAGGTGATCAAATTGGATGAAGATCAAAGGGGTAAATTCTGAAAGAAAACCTGTTGTGCAGAGTTGAAGCGGTACGCAGGCTGAATACACACCACACTTCTCAGAATGTGTTGGTGTAATGTTCACTCCCTGTGAGCAAATTATAAGTTCATGATTTGCTCTGATTTCAACTGGATGCTTTTTCTCAAACTGGGAAAGGTGTAAAAATATGTCTTTAACCTTAGTGGAAGATGTTGATGTACCCTGCAGTGAACTGTTTCAATTTATTCAGTTGGAAGCGTGCTTGTGCCAAGTTTCTGACAAGCGCGTGTGCAAACGTGACATATTTTCATAGTCACATGAAAATGACACAGTTGGTGCTTTCATTTCACCCAGAGAGTTTAAATAAAGTTCTCTTTGCACAGGAGAGATGAGGTAATAATGCACTTTATAGAAAACCAGCTGCAAACAACTTGAGGTCTGGTTCATGTTCTGGTGGGGAACTCCACATGAACTCCACATGAACCCCCAGATGTGGTTCATATTACGGGGGAAAAAATAGTCCTGGAAAGATTTCAGCTGCTGCTCTTAGGTGTTTGCTTCTTGAGTTATTAAACTATTGAACTTTGGCTCTCCTCTAACTCTGGGGCTTCCCTTCAGCAACACGTCACACCTACGGCGGCACAAAGCATTCCCTTCGATTGCATTGCCACTTGTGCTGATTACCCTTTTTTTTTTTCTTTTGCTGTTTTCACAGACAAAATGAGTGAGAGGGTGTCAAAATGCTGCGGACTCAAAGCTTACAACCCACTCAATGAAATGTGCTGTGACTTTACTCTCCAAGCTAAACCTTCTCCCATGGCGGAGTGCTGTGGAAAAGGTAGGTATACATTAAATGGAGTTAAACATTTGTGCGAGAGTTAGTGCTGGTTTATGCTGCCAAAGTTGCGTTTGAAAAGATAAAGCAAGCAAGAAAGAAACTTACCACCGACGGGGTTGTGACCTTGACCTGACCTTTATGTTGCCTTATCTCATCAGAAACAAGCACCAGTGACATGCACAATATTTTGACATGCTAGTAGGCAAGTGTCTTTGCATTTTAGTTAAGTTTGACTTCATCTTTGGTGTCTCTAATATCTGAAAACCCACATAGTTTATCATGTAAATATTCCACTCCATCGACAACGTCGTGAGTTGTGGTGTAGGTGGTGAGGCAGGACGCTGTAGGCCCAGGTAGAAGAGAATGATGAAGATTTAATGATGAAAATCAGGCACAAGAAAACTAAGAAAACTCCAAAACCCAGCCAGCACTGCTGAGCGGAAGACAAGGGCTCAACACAGGTAGCGACTGGCACACGATTGGACAGCTGACAACAGACTGCGAACACATCAGACAAGGACCCGAAGACACAGGGACAGAGGTGACATTAAATACACAGGAGGTAATCAGGAAATGAGACATGATGGGAACAATCAGGGGGAAGACGGGACAACACGAGGACTCAGAAGACACTGAAACCTAAAAAAACACATAAAAACTCAAGTCCTGACAGACAATAGCAACACACAAAAGATGGAGACAAAAATCCCTGCGGACATCCCAATTTTATAATTGCTTGACTGACATTCAAAGCAGCCGTTTTATATCTGAACCTTTGAAAATAACAAAAATCAAAAAGAGCAACGGAGGGGACCACAATAAGGGATTTAAGCTCTTATATTGGCAATCCTGTGCAAACAGTATACGAGGAGGGATTAAGGAGCCTAGTGATAAGTCAAAGAATCAAAAAGTTTCTATAGAGATGAAAGTCTGTTTTATCACTTTCAATCATCCAGACTATAGCAGGGTCAAAAGTTTAATTCAAGCAAATTCAAGTAAAGTTAAAACCTATTAAACTGTGAAGCAATGATCACAATATGTCTACAGATGTGTAAGGAGCCATAGATTCATTTAAAGCTGCAAACATGAGCCTCAAATCTGATTTCGGTTGCATTAGCAATTTGTAATAAGTTTGGCTGATTTCCACAAAATTGTTGTCACTGGGTCAAAAAAAGGCTAATAGCTGTTCACAAATGGAGCATTGCAACTTTCACAGTGTTTCATGAGTTAAAAGAAGGTTTCCTCCTGTGTATCAGGAGAGAACTAGCAACAGGTGTGAAAAAGGGAAACAAAAGAGATCTAATCAATTTATAATATATTGGATATTGTTCCCTTAAGATTTTATGCTCCATCTTGTTGTCGTTGGTTGCGATTCGGAGCCCCGTTTGGTCCAGACGACCTCGAAGTATAAAGTGTTTGCTGTTTCCGGAAAATATTTGTCGGAACCACGTGAGCAGATTTCCTGACCTGTAATTATTTATTTCTGCAGCGGCCTTCAACAGCAAAACTCAGCTGTGTTGCGGTATAAACAGGACGATCTTGAACAGAAGTTCTCCGGACCACGAGTGCTGTCACGCGGGTCAGTACAACACCAAGACTCAGTGCTGCTGCAGCGGAGGGCGCATTCAAGACAAAGTCTCAGGCTGCTGTGGTGACAACAGACCCACTGTGACAGGTCAGCTTGTCTCTTGAAGAGCTTGTGTGGCTTTGAGACCACTGAATAAAAATGTCACATGTTTGGAGCGTTCATACATTCAACTCCCTCCACTGAAACTAGATAAAGTCTAGAGGAACCAATCATCTTCAGAGGTTACCTAATTAGTACATATTGTGTGTGGACATTATTATAATTTAGTATTCAGTGAATGTGAACCCGGAGTGGCTTTATGCAAACGGATAGCACACATTTTCACATATTTATTAGTAAATTCCCACTGAAGTGCTGTGAGGTTTCTGCTCTCATCATGTTTCTCTGAAGTCTGGGGGCTGCAAGAGGCTCAAAACCAAAGTACAGGTCTGGAAATCCACACCCAGATTATTATATTTAGAGCAATATTTTTCAAGGAATTCATTGTTATTAATGTAAAACATAAAGGAATGTAGAACTTAAAGGGAGATTAAATTAAACATTTGGAGGGTGTTGATTTGCTTGATCCAGAAAAAGAGATTCCTTTAATATCATGTTGGCCATGTTTAAAAAAAATAATATCTACATCTTGGAGTTAATGGACTTTAATACATAAACCTTTTGATATGTTAGAAACTTTGCCATTCTTGCATATTTATGTGGCTGATGTTTGCCTTACAGGAAACACTTCCCCTACCAATCTTGTTGCAAATCGCCACGGGTATGAACTGCTTCATTTCTGCTTCGTTAGCGCATGTTGAGTGACAAAAACAATGTTTTGAACTAACATATTTTTTTAAATAATTGTAATAGAATAGATTCTTCATTATCATTATACAAACACACAACAGTGAATTTGGCAAGAAAATATTCTAGCTTGAAGTCCGCACAAAATAATTAATTATTGCATAAATGCAATAATTCTAAAGGATAATGTGTAGATGATACTTTTTAAAATGCTTCTACTATTCGTCTGTCCACAGGGAACATTTTTGTGGGTTAAAGGCTTACGATCCAAAGACCGAACGCTGCTGCCAGAGGAAACACGGAGACATAAACGCTCTGTGCTCCTCAGGTAAAATGGCCTTAAAATGCTTGTTTTTACACCAGGCCGCCATGCATACAACTTTTGCCGTCTTACCGGACTTTACATGAGCAGAGAAGAGCTACAATGCATCCTCTGTTAGAATGGCATTAAGATCATGATAAACATTTATCTCGAACACCTCCAAGGAAAGCCAAGGTTGTTTATCGCCGACCGTCCCACAATGGCTTAGCAACCGAACAAACTTTGATTTAAAGATTCGAAAACAAAGAAAGTGTTTCTTCATTTTCTATCTTTCAGCAATGATCTGCAACGTCAGCCAATCTCCCTTAACTTTGTTCATTTTCAGTTCTAAGATGTATCCCTTTTTTTTAGTTTGTTCTTTTTTTTAGATTACGCAGTTGCAGCAAAACATTGATGCATTTTAGGTTTTTTCAAACATGTTCGCTTGTGATATCAGTGTGCATAAATACACATGTAGGAGTTGCCAACAAGATGCCCAAAGACAAAGAAGAGTAGTTTATGACAGTATGTCTTTAGTCAATAAAGCTGAAACAAAAGGTTTTTGCACTGCGACACATGTGAGGGAGGAATCACGAAGAATTGATATTTTTGAGCTTGTAAATATACATACCTAAATAATTTAAACAGTGCAGGGACCTCTGAAGCTGGACTCAAATGTGAAAAAGGGAAACTGTCAAACTTTTGTTTTGGACTGTAAACAGTCTGGAGCTGAAGTACGCAAGAGAATATTCCAAAGAAACATTCTCCTATCTGAAATCACAGGCAGGCGAAGTAAATCATTCTTACTTTTAAAAGTCTCCAGACAACCACAGATGCCAGACTGAAAGCACGAATGTCAAGTTAGCCTGTGGACTCTGCATTACCAGCAGGCCAGTTTCATTTCCAGTCAGACATTTGTCATAAAGTGTCTGAGAAGTAACTTTGGAGACTTTCTTTTTAAAGGACTGTCAGTGTTGAAACCCTTTGGGCAAACTACAGATGGTTTTGTTTGTATAATATTCAGTTCAAGCTGCAGCTTCTGATAATCCTCCAAATCCTCAAAGCTCATCTTTAATTGGTTGCTTTATAAAAAATAAGACAAAAATAATTTTTTTCAGCTTCACATTGTGTCATAATATTATCCCATCATAAAAAACATACGCAGGTTGTCACTTTGACTCTTTCATGCAAGTTTGATAAATACTTTAATCTCCCATGGCATCCATTCAGGGGTGCCTAAACGCTTGCTGCCACCACTGTCCCACAGAGCTCCTCCTTGCAGCTGCACTTTCCAGCCGAGTTTCAGGCTTCCCTACTCCACTCCTTCAGACTAGCGCCAGCCAGGTGGAACCGCACATCTGTGGAGCTTATTATACGAACTATTTCTCAGTCCAATGCTCCTAGAAAAATTGTGAGCAGCTTAACGGAGAAATGGTAACTTCCTGAAGAGGGTGTGTCAGAAAGAGCAGGAGCTTCTTAAAGAGACAGAGGCCTAATTTCACGGAGTCAAACTGCAAATTTATTTTAAGTTGTGCTTCACATGTACTCATATCATTTTTATAATAACTGAAGGTAACATAGATACTTGATTGTGGTATAAAATGACACTCTGTGCCTTGAAAATAGATAAATATTAGCCCTTTAACTTTGACATCCTTTATGTGTCCTCCCTCTCCTTTTGATTAGGTATGAAACCTACACCAACTCTTTACAACCCAGAGACACGCATCTGCTGTGATGGCTGTCTGACAAAGCTGAAGCCATGGATGGATCAGGTAATCTCCTCGTGTCACTGTTTTTGGTTGCTTATCGAATATTTTTGTTTTGCTGAGCTTCAACCGAACACCCGGGCCTATGACAGATTTCAGGCCTTTGGCACTTACAGTATTTATGTGGACAGATAACAAATCAGAATAGTTCAGTGCAGCTAGCCCAGCTTTACAACTGATTTGCAGTTTGCAGCCCTTCGCTCCTCCCTTTTCAAATTTACACTCCTTCCGAGGGACAAACGCATTTTCAAGGCTAACTGGCTCCGTAAAAGGATCATGTTAAAAACGCTCCGGTAAGACTAAGAGGGTTGTGGTTCATATGCTGAAACTATTTTATTATTATTATTATTATTATTATTATTATTATTATTATTATTATTATTATTATTATTATTATTATTATTTATTTTTTTGTGTGAAACATTAGACAGACATTTGACCTGATATTTTTCTCCCTCCCCCAATTTGTGCCTTTTTTGTTACCAGTCTTTTAAAAACTTTTAAATTGATAAAGAAGAAGGCTGCAATGTGAAAGACTTACAGCTTTTGTTTCCATTTTTTCCTCTTTGACTCAGTGTTGTGGAGACACACCATACGGTTTAGCGCAGAGAGGAGTCCTCTGCTGTAAAAACCGCCTGTTCCATAAAAGAGAGGATGGAGAGGAGTGTTCGGAGAGCGGAGAACCTTACAAACCCTCTGCAGAGACCGTGTGTGCTCAGAAGCGGCACAACTCACCGGGAGGGCACTGCTGTGGGGAGGAACTCTACCAGCCCAACAAAACTGTTTGCTGCAAAGGGCAAAGGTAAGAAATAATCAATTGGTGCTGAAGAATCAACTGATTCTCCCACCACGAAGAGAGGTGGGAGAATGCACAAAGAGTTGATTTGTGCAGATGTCTTTCTTTTTCCTGTAAAACAAAAAAGACATCTGGAAGTGCATGAAGAGGTTAATGCTGTTTTTTTGGATTAAAAGAGATAATGTGGTAAAAATTCCAGACGGGAGTGGTGAGAAAATTCCACAGTGTCTGAGAAAAGGCAGACTTTTCAGCTTCTAGCCTCATTCCAGCTCTCCCCCCTCCCTTTTCTCGTCGTGTTTAAACACAACTAAGGTGCCAAACATGCTTTGTCCACGTCTGAATTGATGCTTGAAATTCTTTCCATGTTAAAATCTGTCTGCGCGCAGAGCTGCCACAGTTGGGTGCTTTACCTCTGTTGATAAATGATGCCAGGACAGCTAGATATATCCAATCTATGAGTCACACCACCTGGGAAATATTTATTCCTCAATATGAGAAGTATGCAGCAACGACTGCAGCTCCCGGACCACCCACAACATCCTGCATTGCCCTCATGCAAGGAAAAATTACCAGAGGCCAAAAATGTGATGGAGACTTTGAAATAACTTAGCTGAAGCAGCTAAGAGTGGGACACACACACACACACACACACGAACACGCATGAATACACAGAGAGAGAGAGTCTGCTGCCAGTGAGTAAATCCTGCTTCTTTTCATCTGCATTAATCAGTAACAACTTCACATGCCTACCAAGACTTCTCACAGCAAATGAATGTGATGTTCTCACATAGATTCTTTTTATCTTAAAGCTATTTATTTAATCTTTTATAGGTGCATAGACCCAGTTTTCACACCCTCATTCTTCAGAACAGTAGTATATTTATTTTTTCTCAACAAATGATCTCCAGCACAGAGCAGACTGGTTTTATCTGGTGCTAATTGCACCCATAAAGAAAAAAGAAACTTTAATCCAAAAACTCTTGTCAAACCTGACTTTGTCTGAATGCTCATAAAGCTGCAGCGCACTATTACTGTGAAACCTGTTTTTTAAAAAAAATCAGAATTAGCATAAAGATCTTCAGCAGATTGAGCTGCATTAGTTCTACTCGATCCGACCACAGTGGTCCTCCTTCACTTCCCACGTGCATCAGTAAGCCTGGACCTTTTTGCAGTTCACTGCGGTTCCTCCATTGAATTGCTTCTGATGAATATTGCCCTCTGCACACCGGGAACAAACCAACGCTGCACTCTCATGGACGCTCAGACCAGCTCTTTGTTAAAATCAGTCAAATTCTTGTTGCCTCTTTCCACCTTCTGACACATTCATTTTGAGAATGAAATATTTATCTCCTGCCTCGAGTATCTCACCCCCTAAGATGGACAAGCATAGAGAGATAATTGCCTCACTGCATGATGAATGTAGATTTGACGAACCCAGAGGATTTTGATGGAAGATGAAATAGTTAACCTTCTTTGGTTCAGTTAGTTTTTGTTTTTTTGTGAAACACTTTTCCAAGATCTCAAAATCTCAACCTGAGATTAGCGGTGATGGGGGAAAGGTTCAACCTGCTCGTATTTCTGCACTGATGTTCACTTAGCATTTTATCCTTTTCTCACATTGCTTAGTCTTTCTCTGTTTGACAAAACAGACACAATCGAGGAAAGCACATTCGCTGCTGCGGCATTCATGCCTACAACATTTCGAACCCACTAAAGAAGTGCTGCCAAGGAACTCTGCACAACTTGACGACTGGGGAAGAAAATGACCTGAAGTGCTGTGGATCCGAGCTGCTGAACTCAACGGTAGGCTTTATTTAACCCAATAAACGTCATAAGTCTGGAAAACACAATCTTGTTATTCATGTCCTCTGAAAACTTCATAAATGCTGCTCATAAACCAGGACGTTTGCTGCAGCAGTGAGGAACAGTCCGTGTTGTATCCATCAAAGGATGGATTTAAGTGCTGCGGTCACCACTACTACAACTCTGCTCTGTGGTGGTGCTGCTCGGGCAAGCTCAGTCCAGTACACCGTGACACCACCCACAAACAACCCACCCCGAAAGGGATTGTTCACCATTTTGCAGAATCCAAACTTCAACTGGTGAACAATCTGAACAAAACACAACTTTGCAATGAAGGTAAGGCAACGCTGAAACGTCCTTTTACTGCTCTCGTTATTAAGGGCACCGATTCAATATGTGGGAAACATTCCTCAGAGGTTCGGCTTCATGGTGAGGTGATAATTTCACAGAGTTGCTACAGGTTTGCCAGTTGCAATGACTAGAATGACTGGTTAGTCTTTTTGACACCAGCAACCACATCATGTTCAAAATCTTTTAAATTTATTAATTCTTCACTTTAAACCTCAGCTTTAAAGTTGTCTTCACCACAGCTAATCTATTGAGTTGCTGCTATGTGATTGACTGAACTGTGTTTGCAGGCAACTATACTTGACAATATGGCACAAAGTGTGTTCTTCAGTTCACGTTTGTGCGTGTGTCTCTCTGTGAAGTGTTCATTGGGGTCGTGGAAAGCGTGTCTCGGAGCAGCACCGTGTTCAGCAACGTGCTGAAAATCAAAGGGAAGGTGGTCACAGTGGAATCAGATGTTTTCATCCTGGAAACTCCGGATCAGTGCAAGTTCTTCAAACTGACTGCAGGAAAGACCTACTTCTTCAACCACGCCAACGTCTTCGCTGATTTCAACCACGAGTCCGTCCTGCAGTCGCTGCATTTCATTCTGTCCAAATGTTCTCAGTAGGTCACCGCTGGCGGATCTGGTCCTACGCATTTTCTCTAACTTTTACTTTAAGCTCAACTTGCCATGCCAGAAAGAAAGTTTACTTTAACAGTCTCATCACCAAGTGCCTCTGAATGTAGTCTGACAAAAGGCTACAGTAGTCCAAGAGAGGGTCGATCCAAACGTCGTAACGGTTTGGAGACAAAGAAGCTACCTTAAAAAGAGTCGGTGTTCTGAGAGAACATTAAAGCTTGTTTTTATAAGCTAAGGTGCTGCCAGCTGATGTGTTTGTTAGAAATATGTTTTTTTTTTTCCATTTTAAATATATGCTATTTTTTTCTCTTTTTTTAATGCACTGATTGGATTTGTACCGCACTCTTGACAATTGAATGTTTAAATATTTAAAAGATTTATTTTAACTTACGCAATAAAGCTGAAGAGATTTTTAATAAAGAATGTCAAGGGTGGTGATTCTGCCCCGGGGCTGTTTCATGATCTCAGTCATCCGAAGAAAAATTGACTTGTGTCAGTTTGCATCAAGCAATTTCATTGTCATTATGGTAGCATCTCCCACAAACGTGACCTTCAGGAGAAGAGATGCCTTAAATTTGATTCACTATTTCATATCTTTCTGCTGTATAAATGTGAACAACAGTACAAAGCTCAAACAAAGAGAAGCTCAGTCTTTATCTACTTTCATCATTACTAATTAATGGCTTTGTTTTTGTGTTGCATGTTGAAAACGAAGCTAAATGTACTGTGGGTGCTTTTCATTTTGTAATAAATGTTAAATGATAAACACTTCAAATCGACTCTGTTGTTCCATCCATCTGTGCAGGGTTGATAGGGAGCAGAAACTTCTGTCCAGGATTTATCATAAGTTGACAGGACCCTTGTTGTTATTTCTGGTGTTTCTCCCATCAAAACAATGAAAGACCCTGACAACACAAGCATTCATCAGTCGGGTCACTTCTATTCAAAATGTTTTAGTATGGCACATGAAAAGTTGATGTTTAGCATTTTATTCCCACTAGCAGTCTAACAGTGAGAAGTAGCAGTGAAGCTATATTTTATAGTATAAATATAAAAATCTGCCAAGAACTTCACAGCGGCCTCTGGGGAGGTTGGTGTGCCAATGGCAAACATGTCGGAGAGACAGCTTCTCTCATGCAGTAACAGCTCCATCCCAGCTGCACCGGCACGCATTTTGATGAGCCAGAAGGGAGATCCTGGCCAGAAATATCGGAGAGGAGTTTCATCGTTTCTGTGACCAATCTACCGGGGCCAGCTGGTCAAGCTTGACCCTTCCTTGGGCTGGTTGATTTAGCAGACAAGTCGTTTCCAGTAGGACCAAGAGGAGGTACAACCAGGAAACCATTGCTCCTCGGCCTGTGGAATAGTTGTCCACTGCTTCCCCAGTTTCATGACCCACCAGGGTTAGTGACGCCATGTATTCACAGTCCTTTGGGAGCGGTACTTAATGCCCTTGTGACCTTGTGAGAGTCATAGTTACGGCCGCATGACTGACTGCAGAAAGTTGCCAACCTCTTTGCACTATGTGCTTTACCGTTCTGCTGACCCCACACTGTCAGTGTACGAGGCCTTCCACTTTGTGGCTGAGTCACCATCATTCCCAAAAACTTCCATTTCTTTTTTAATGTAACCGACAGTTGGAATATTTTGGAGCAAAAAAATTTCATGACTGGATTTGTTGCACAAGTGGCATCTTGCCACAGTTACACTCTGAAATTCACTGAGGTTTTGAGAGTGACCTATACGTTTACAGATGTTTGTGAAAAAAACAATTGGCATGTCCAGGTGCTTCATATTAGACATCTGTAGAAATTCAATAATTTGGATGGATGGGCAAACATATATATATATATATATATATATATATATATATATATATATATATATATATATATATATATATATATATATATATATATATATAATTAATTCCCTTCTCACCCACTGCAGGTGGTGAGTCATCAGTCACCTCCTCTACATGGATGACATCAAGCTGTACGCCAAGAGTGAGCGAGACATCGACTCACTGATCCACACCACCAGGATCTACAGCACTGACATTGGGATGTCATTCGGACTAGAGAAGTGTGGTCGGCTGATCACAAAGAGGGGGAAGGTCATCCACACAGAAGGAGTCTCACTCCCACAAGGAACAATAGCAGACATAGAGGACAGTTACAAGTACCTAGGTATACCACAAGCAAATGGCAACCTCGATGAGGCCACAAGGAAAGGAGCCACAGCTAAATACCTCCAACGAATAAGGCAAGTCCTGAGAAGCCAGCTCAATGGCAAGAACAAGATCCGTGCGATAAACAGCTATGCCTGCCAGTAATCAGATACCCTGCTGGAATAATTAGCTGGCCAAATGAGGAGATAAAAGCCACAGATATTAAGACTAGAAAGCTACTAACCATGCATGGAGGGTTCCATCCCAAATCCAGCACCCTGAGACTGTACACTTGTTTCTGCCACATTCAAAACAAAGTTTGCTTCCTACAATATTCAGATATGATTAGTCTTTTTTGCCTCAAAGCTACATGGAGCCAACAGTATGACATGAGGTTAGAATGTTTGGCTTCGTCTGTGCCTTTGACACTTGTGTCACAAAGCACTAGATGGTTGCAGCATTTGAGTAGGGTTTTAATATACGAAGCAGTGGCTGCACAGTGGTGTGGTTGATAGCACTGTTACCATGGAGCAAGAAGGACTAAAACCCTGGGCTCTTTCTTCATGTTCTTCCTGTGCGTGTTTGGGTTCCCTCCGGCTTCCTCCCACACTCTCTCTAAATTCTCCTCGGGTGTGAATGTGTGAGTGGATTGTTGTTTGTCATGCTTGTCTCTGTGTTGCTCTGCTATGGACTGGCGACGTATCCAGGTTGTACCCCGCCTCTCGCCCATTGACGGCTGGAAGGGTAAGCGTGTTAGATAATGGATGTATATAAAGCAGCAGCATGGAAGGAGGCATGGAGCAATGTCCTACATCTCACCAATGTGTTCAGAAGAACCTAAACTAATATATATAAAAAAAACTATTTTTTTCAACAAGATATAAGATGAAATTATGTCAATTTGTGCTTTTTGACATTTTTGTGGAAGATATATACTTGACAGTCTCTATGAAGTTTAGATAGGTTTTGGTGAATAATTGCATTAAATTCTGAATGCAAAACACGACAAACAGAAAATATCTGTACATTTCTAAATGAAATGTACAAGTAGCTTTAGCATTTAAATCAGGTCTCCTGCTTAGTGGGTCATGATTTGTGAAACATCATATTGACATTAATGATTTCTGTTATTTATTCAAGTGAAGCAGCAAAATCAGTGAGGCGGCAGCACGTCTTCTAATTAAATAGCAGAATAGAATTGAACCATAATTTTTTGTTTACTTCTGTGCATGCAGGATGTGTAGTGTAAATCTAAGTGACAGCATCATTTGGTTGTTTATAAAAACTGCTTTATCTATGAGTGGGTCCCTCATTCCCTGATTACACTATTTTACAGTAGGTTACATTTTTCTGCAAAAAGCTTTCATTTTCAAATTTTGCATTAACAGTTTAAAGTGGTGAAAGAAACAAATAATCACATGAAGGGACAGTTTCTGACAGGGGCAACCGCCCAGGGCAGCATCTCGCCAGGGAGTGCCAGGAGAGAATCCAACTTTAACTCACTTTAAGGTATTCTGCCGCCTGGTACATCATCGACCTCCACAAAATAAAATCCCGTAAGCTGGAAAAGACTTTGAGAAGTCCGCCAACTACCTTCTTCAGTACAAAGGTGTTCCTAACTCCACCTTCTACCCAAACCTCATGAACTTTGTCTGAAGATGTGAAGGAAGAAGTCAGATGGCGATAGAGGGCAAAAATGTCTGTATTCAGAGCAGTGAAAAAAAAGCTGTCAATCTATTTTTACCAATCAATCATTTTCACTCTGATTTATATTCAGCAAGCAGAACAGATAATCTACATCAGGCCATTTAACGTTTTCTCTACAGTCACAAAGGTTGAAAGGAAAACCTTTTAAATTGATCAGAAGTCGGCAAGATTCTCTGAACAATACCTGAACGATGCAAACATTCCCCTCTGAGGGAGAATAATCCCACACCCGTGGTTCAGCTGCGCTAGACTTTCTCCAAAGCCTCTTGTCCATAACTCATCAACGCATCGCTGTCAGGTCTCAGATAACGTCCCGATCAAAGACTTTAACTCACTCTGATGGATTGTTTGCTTATAGTGATTGGTTTAGTGACCTTCTTGCATAAAGTTTAAACTACCTGCATGTCTGAACCAAGTGTGCAATCTGCCACATTGCTGGCAGATTGCCATCAATTTGGCATAGCTATTAGATTTCTATTAGATTTCTCCACCACCGATTAAAAAAAAATAAGAAGAAAAAATGGAAGATGTCAGCTGAGTTCATCTGCAGTCGCCGGTCAGCTTCATCCAAGCTTTGGTTTGAAAACATTACTGTTGGATAAAGCATTATCCAACAGCTGGGGAGGTTTGCTTCTCAATCATGGGAGGATGAAATTAAAGTAAAAAATAAACTCAAATTTGTGCAATCAAAAAAAAAAAGAAGACCACAGACAAAGGAAAAAACACAGAAATAATCGAAAACACTTCCAAAAAATACAAACAAGAGAGTGAAAGAAAAGCATAAGTTAAAAAATAACAACAATGGAACTGTGGTCTCTTCATCAGTGCTATCGTCAAATGTGTTTAAAATCGAGGTTGAGGATTCAAACTCAACTGTCTCTTCAACTGGAGAAGTTTGGAAAATGCTTTCTTCAGTGGTATTCAAAACAGAAACCTCCCCAGCCGGGGAGGTTTGCATCTCAGCAGGGGACAGATTTGAAAAAAAAGAATAAAACATGATGTTACTGCAGTCCCCGGACTGAGAAGCAGTCCGGGGACGATCAAACAAAAACGAATCAAATTCATCGTAAACTGTCTTTGCTGAGAAGGAAACCTCCCCGGCCGGGGAGGTTTCCTTCTCAGCGGGGAAGGACTGAAAAGAAAGGAGTCGAAGCTGTCATAATAAGTCGGGAAGGACTGGGAAGAAAATGGTAGCTTTCGTCCTTTTCATCTGTGCTTGGAATCAGCTTGTCGCAAATTGTACTGATCACCGTACTCACTAAATAACAAACACTTAAACCGATCGGGAAACCCACACCGACTAACAGATCTAACATCCTGAAAATGTATGAAAAAGTGCTGAAGTCTGAAGAGCTGGTTGGATATGGACAGATATTTTGAAACACAAGCATTCATAACCTCAGATGTTCTTTGATCTAGATCCGCATGTCATAGATGAGGTCATAGCCACAATGAGCTCATAGCAACTTCTGCTCGTTGCTATGGAAACAATCAGATAAGTTCTGCATGACCCAAACTGTTAACCCTTTCAATGGCGTCGCTTCATCATTTGAGGCACCATGATGGATGTCAGAAGTGAGGAATGGGAGTATTGAACTGAGCGACTGAAATGGATTTCCAAAGTTGTTTGGATTCTGCGTGTTTTATTTTTTATTTTATTTTAAAAAAGTATATATATATTTTTTATAATCAGGACTGCAAGGATTTCCTCTGTGGTTAGCATTTTACTGGCAGGAAAAAATGCTATCAGGTTTTTATAATGGGGCGATATATATATATATATATATATATATATATATATATATATATATATATATATATATATATATATATATATATATATATATATAT